TACGACAATGTTATCACTCAAGCGGCAGACAAGTACACTGCCTTGGAGGTGGCAATCGCGTGCGAGTGCGAGCAAAAGGATGGACTGGGGGCCCAGGTTCGACGCGGGGGAAATTTTCACCGACTGCTGGACATGGGGCGCTGCTGCATCACTGCGGAGCAAGACCAACTTGTAGAGAGGACGAAGCTTAGGGCAACCGGCCATGTCTCGCAGCCTCGTAAGCCATTAAAGCCCAAAGTTTCTAGGCTTCAGTGTGTGCAGTCGTGGCCCCTTGAGCCCACGTGCTGCCGTCAGAGAAAGGTAGATGTGCGCTCCGTCTTGAGAGCCATATCTTCTGCATGTTTTTGCCTGCTTTGTTACATTGGCACAAGCACGAGGTATCGCACCATAAGAGTTCGAAGCCAAGACTCTCTCGTGCATCTGAAGAGAGAGAAATGAGAGTGACTGAAGCGCTGCTTGCTTGTGGGTATTGATTGGGACATCAGGGTTCAGCTTTGCAACAATTATCTTCATTGACAACATATCAAAGCTCACGGTGGCGACAGTGTCGCCGAGAAGAGAAGAGCAAGAAGCCAGCCAGTCCGGCAAAGACATCAGCCGGGAAATCGAGCGAGATGTACCACGAACTCCAGACCGCGTTCCAAAGGAACAGCGTCAGGATCGAGAAATGCGGAACGGAGATCATCAAAAGATGTGATTCAGTCTGCCAAGGGACAGCAGACTCCGCCAAGAAGGTCCAGATCTCATCAAGAGGGTCAAGAGGCAAGGGAAGCTCAGAGTTCGACAGAGATTGCGGGAACAGGCCTGACGCAACTTGGAACTTTCATGCGACCCAGAACACAGGGCTTACAGAAGACCAAGTTCCAGCAGCAGTGCAAGGGCAAGCAATGACACAACACGATTCGAACTGATATTGAGTTCATGACGTGCTTAGTGTGTATCCCACCCTATTGAATAGCCCTATTGCACAGATGCAGGAACTGGGGCGCTGTGTGTTTGCTAACATTCAGCTGGTTCCTCAGCTGCCTGTTTCATGACTGTCACCATGCAAGTTTTTGATGATGCATCAGTACGTGTTGCAAGTAGCGCCTTTCGATACATATTTACATTCCCGATCGTGGTGCTGCTTCTTTTGGCATGAGCACCAATATATGTTAGCCCATGTTTAAGGCACGAGTTGCCTTACACCGACAGGTGGAGCAGCTGCCGCTAAATCCACAGTAGGTGGGCGGAACAGGGGGCGCACGCGAAACATTGGTGACCTATGTTCTTGTAGTGTAGCTTTTGACTTCAGCAAGCTGGCCTGGCCGAGACTAGTCTTGGTGGCAACAGTGTTAAAACTATCCACGCTATACACGTTCTACCGACTCTGCGCCTTTGGTTTTGACCTTTGGCGGTTATTCCTTGCTGTTTTCCAAACTCGTTACATATGCACTTGACGGTGCACTGCATCTGACCTGATGTCGATGCTGGATCAGTTGTGGTCGAGCTTGGCAGCTCAACATGCAACTTTGCTTGTGCAAATGTCGATTCATTGCATGATGTCCCGCACTGGATTGCATGGTTGCTGCAGTTCATGCCAGTTGACTGTGGCAGGTACGAGTGCGGCACATGGCGTGCTCCATGACAAAGTGCCTGCAATGTCCGTGGCAAAACACGTGCAATTCTCATGTTGATGTGCGGCCTCTTTCTTGCATTGATGCAGAAACTGACTACTTGCCTTCTGTTCCACTTGCATGCTTTCTTGTCGGGTTCAAAACGGTCCGGCAACCCGACCGCATCCAGGCACCCCGACACTCTCGCGTGCCGAAAGTCTTTGATGCCTGCATACTTTGCTATCAGTGCGTGCTTATCTTTGTTGACGATTGGCTGGCAGCTGCGAGCTGGTCAGCGACGCTTCAATAGAGCTTGCCACGCTTTGCGCATACTGCCTTCTCCGGTTGCCGTTGGCTTGCTTACATGTGTTGCAGGGAATGGGACAGTGAAGGACCGATCTGTCATTCAAACGTTTCTGTTGCAGCAACTTTGGATGCAGTGTCGCCCATGCCATGCAGAGAATGCAGGAGGCAGCTTGTATGCATGGCATTGCTTTATAAGAACACGTATGTTGGTGTCAGCACGGCCCAAGAGCACCCGTCCTGGGGCAGAGATCCCATGCGAAGGTTTGTCGAGCACTTGCATTGTCCACCCGTGTTAATGCGCAAAGACCCTCCGTCAACTGTTGGGTATGTTTGGTTGCATGACGTGGCTTCAAAAGCTGAACTGTTCCACGTTGAAGCGTGCCACATCTCGCAGTCCCAGCCATCGGCAAATCGCACGTTTTAATTTGGAGACGATCTACGCCTACCGGGGAGCGGGCGTGCACGTCCCCACCGATGTTTCCGCGTACGGCGTGCGGCTTTCTTCAGGGATGAGTTGGTCCAGCCATGCTTGCCTGCTTGCTTGTTGAAGCTTGCACGTGTTCATGCTTGTAGGCAGTGGCCGCCGGCACCAGTGCAGACAACCAGCGAGCAAAGTTTGACGCGACACTTGCATTTGCCCCTCCTTTTGCTGTACCGCCTGGTCCAACAAGCGTGGTGTGTGGCTCTTGGCGTTGAGGCTATTGTGTTGCATTATGCATGGTCTTTACTGCTCCTAACACAGTGGGTTTGCAGCAAAGGCTGTCGAGTCGATTGGCCCTTGCTGCATTCGCTCTGGGGTAGCAGTATTGCATACAGGCTTGTGCGTTGCGTGTCAGCCCAGCCGCGACCAGGTTACAGACCTCGAGGTTTGGGATTTCTCGCCAGATACATGAGGTGGGCACGCGAACTGCCCTTGAAGACAGGTGTGTTGAAGCTGCCTTCGTTTGCGCGTGAGGTGCATGTTGGCAGTGCACTACACCACGTTGCTTGGCAGTTGTCTCGTGGTGTCCCGGCTCGTTGGCAATGGTTGCAGTCCCGCTTGAAGTTGAGCACCCTTCCCAAGCCCAGCATAAAAGTCAAGCGCTTCAAAATGCAGCAAGTTATGAAAAATACTTGTTGGGCAGACTATGAGGTGCTGCATACTGATGACCTTGCACATGTTTTGCTGGGTAAGGATATGATGCGTGTGAAGCTTTGGGCAAAGTTTCCTGATGTTGGGCACCCGCATGATGATTGGGGACGATTCAGGTCTCGTATTCGTGAGGTGTGTGGCTTGCTTCGCTTGCAAGAACGGAAAGTGTTTGAGCAAGCAGTTCTGTGTGCAGTCTCAGCCTCCGTGCCCAAAAATCGGTACATGAGCCCGCTCCTCATGGTTACGGTACTGTTAAGGCTAAGTGCTTCAGGGGCTCAGGGGTTCCTTTTCCACTGGTTGTCAGCACAGTTGCGAAAAGCCTGGACATAGCTGTTTCAGAAAAATCGTTTCCTGGGGACGTTGTGAGGCAAGCGTGAGGCAGATTTTTAGACAGGTGTCCCGCGCTGCTACCATACTGGTAATTAAGTATTGCTTAGGTTGGGAGACCCTTAGCTTTAAGAGTAGCAAGTTTGTTCGACAAACTTGACTTCGATTGCATCTGTTGCCCTTCTTGCAAAAAGCCACGAAACTCTCGCACTCGCACCTCCTTGTTGGTTGCTGATGCTGGCCAGATGTATGAGCAGATCCAACCAGCAGACGTTTTGAGCAACCTCAAGGCTGTGATTGAACGTGCACAGCAAGAGGGATACCGTGGGATTGTACTCGTGAGAAGCAGAAAACTCCGCGGCAGTCTGTGAGCATGTCGTGGTTGATGGTGCAGATGTGTGGCCATGGGAAGACATACTTGCTGTGATACGGTTGTCCTTGTACGAGAACCTGTTGCACGTCAGGTGGGGAGACGGCGTGATGCGGCAGGCAGCAGGCAGTCCAATCGGTGGCTTGCTATCACGCTTGCATGCCATGCTGACATTGGGGCCGCCAGAGCGTCGGTGTTCTGCATGCCCACAGAGAGCTGGCCAAGACCAGTTAGCGGCAGTAAGATACGTTGACGACCTTCTTCTGGTTTCTACGTGGTGCTTGGAATGCCTTGCTCCTGTTCTGAAGCGAATCTGTAGTCATTGATATCCCCTACACTGAACAGTCCTGGTTGTTAGGGCACACCCCATACCCCGACCGGCAGCGGTGGCCACCATATGTGCATGAGTCAGCCTTCGACAGTGTTGATTTTAGACAACGTGTGAAAGCGCCCGTTGCTAGATGGTCGCAGATCGGTCTGTCGTCTGAGCAACTAAAGTTTGCAGTCGCGCACTTGATGGCAACCTTAGCGAGATTGGAGTACCCGCAGTCTCTTGTTGCCAAAGGTTTGTGTAGACATGGTGGCCCAGCAGTTGCTACATGGGTAAAGTACTGGCTAAGATTGCACGGTCAACCTCCTGTCCACCCTAAGCGACGGGTGGCTGGGTTTGCTTGGTGAGTTTTTCGGGCTTTTAGGCTTCGCTGTTGCCTTGGGAATTTGGGTTGCAGTAACGAAGAAGTCATGGGCGGCAAAGGCCGTCGAAGCCGTAGTCGCGAGCGCTGGGGGCAGTATCATCATGGGCAGCGCAATTGGCCCGTGAGAAAGGCCAATGGCGTAATGAGCAGCACCCCCAGTACAGTGGCAAGGGCACGGGCTATGGCAAGACTTCATACTCAAACCCCACGACCCGTGCAGCAGGAGTTGCATGACATTTCAAAGCAGCAGCAGCAGCAGCAGCAGCAGCAGCAGCAGCAGCAAGAAGCGCAGGCCACCTCGCTGCTACAGCGCTTTGCAGGGGTTTTTGGCAAGCCGTCCCACGGTAGCCAGGATGCCGGAAACCCGGCTTGGCCATGCAATGTAGCGCAGGCTCCGATGCCCCAGAGTGAGACACCGTCATGGTTGAAGACCTTGCTTGATGGCCTTGCAAGTAAGTTTTAAGTTTAGTGGCGCAACAGAGACCCCCTCGAGTAGATCCCCATCTGTGCCGAGTGAGGCCCATGCTGTGGACGAAGCAAAGACACATGACGACAGTACGCAGCATGCAGAGGGCATGGCTAAGCTACGCCTGGAGCTTGAGTGTTTGAGACGGGCGGAGAAGGAAAGGCTGATGACCGAGATCGACAAGATGCGAAAATCTGCGGATGAAACAAAGGCGACACTCCCGACAACCACATCGCCTCCAGCTAGCGAATCGAAGCAAGTCTCAATACCTGACTGGTTAGATGTGGACGTCGAGCGGTGGGATTTGGATGCAGTGCTTTTGGCGACTGCGCAGCAAAAGGCTTGGATTGCCAAGGTGCGACCAAGCAGCGCAAAAGGTTACACACGTTCCGCATGCTCGGTGTCTACCTGGCTGGCAGCAGTAAAGTTGCGGCTCAGCGATGAGGAACTGAACACGGCCCTTGTGGAGGCTGGCATGCGCAAGGCTTCAGTCCTCACCCGTGACTTGTACATCTTGCGCTTGCTTGTCAGCGTCATGCAAGCGCAGCAGAAGCCTGAGTGACTATGTGGGCGCACGACCTGCAGACTCAAGCGACGCAGGCATGTGCGCCTCTTGACTCGGTTCTTTTGCAGAGGTGTCTGGGCTGGTGTGGCCATACTGGCATGGATAGCAGGAACGGTTCTTGCACTGTTCATTTCATGTCCTTGTGGCTATGCTTGCTCTTCTGTCAGTCCTTGATCAAAGATATGCTGGCAAAAGTTTTCGCTGCAGTACGCCTGTCGGTAGAGGCTATAGTGGAAGAGACGGTCTCGAAACAGGCTTGGCAGTCAACTGTTGACTTCGGTGTGAAAGCCATCTCCACTGGATTGATACAGTTAGTGCCCAGTCATTGGCAGTCTCTGGCGGCACTGAGCCTAACGCCCTGGAGGCTTTGGCCGCTGCAAGCAGCCCCGTTCCCACATGAAAGCTCCATAATTCAGTCCTTGGAGGGGATATTGAGTTCATGACGTGCTCAGTGTATATCCCACCCAATTGCACAGATGCAAGAACTGGGGCGCTGTGTGTTTGCTAACATTCAGCTGTTTCCTCAGCTGCCTGTTTCAGGAGTGTCACCATGCAAGTTTTTGATGATGCATCAGTACGTGTTGCAAGTAGCGCCTTTCGATACATATGTACATTCCCGATCGTGGTGCTGCTTCTTTTGGCAAGAGCACCAATTTATGTTAGCCCATGTTTAAGGCACGAGTTGCCTTACACCGACTGGTGGAGCAGCCGCTGCTAAATCCACAGTAGGTGGGCGGAAGTGTAGCTTTTGACTCGAACTGAAAGAGCGCAACAGCAGCGTGACCGTGTTCCTCAAGGATGTGAAGCGCGAATGTGGCTCATCAGAACGCAAAGGCTGAGTATGAGAGGTCTATGACAACTTCGCAACCATGAACAAGCAGCGCAGCGCATTCTGTTGTGCAGCTCGAGGAACATCGCAAGGTGAAGTCATGCAAATGCCCAGAGAGTACGAGAAGATGACACATGAGCTGTATGATCGTGCTTGAGACCAGGACGTCGACACAGCTTGACTCGGTCAGGATCGCGCTGAGCGATCGATGTTCGTTTACTGAAATCGGAAGAAGCATCGGCCAGGCTCGCATAGCGTGCAACGGCTCAGGAAATGTATCAAGGACGCTCACTCAGGAGAAGAGCGCCGCATCGAACATACATCATCCTCTTGTTACTTGTTGATCAACTGTGAGGACGGAAGACATGCTTCGACAAGAGTCAAGAGCCGGGCAGGCGGAAAAGAAAACTAGCGTATCGACTCGGACCGCAGCAGATGTCATTGCCCACGATGCATGGGGAACTTCAATCTCTTCGGCAACAACTTCGATTCCAGGAAGACATTCAGCTCAGGACGCAGTCGGAGCTTGAAGCTGCAAGGAATCCTCCCGTGTGCTTAAGCACATTCCTACCTCTACGGGCACGCCTCAGACGAGTCAAAGTTAGAGTAGGGCACCAGCTTTTCCAGTTAGTTCTGAAGTGCGGTCCGCTGAAATGAACACTCCGAGTTTACGCAGTCCGGCTAACAACGAGAAAGTCGTTGTCGTTCATCGGGGCGAGACATCCCACGTTGAACAAGGACCGCCTGATAACCAAAGTACAGATTTCAGTGGCCTGATCAAGACACTGGGGCTTAAAGCCGAGCCCCTGCCGACCCACACTCGAGCAGCCTGCCGCCCAGGATCCCGTGCCAGTCGGACGTTTCCTTGGTGACAGAGGTGTTGTACGACTTGGTTCTCTTTCGCCGATCCCGGGCCACAGCAAGCTGCATCATCAAGTCAATGGCAATCGGCATCCTTCTTCACCTGGGCCTTGTCTTTGACCTCAGAGACCTTGGCATTCCAATCCGCCATTTTGCTGTCCGAGTCTCCGCCAGGGCCATATACTTGTGCTCAGCTCTTATCTGGATAACTCGAGCTCGTGCGTTCGCAGCATGAGGGCCCATTTCGTCGACGGAGGCATAAACGTACGTGACAGGACAGGTTCAACCCGAGGGCCCTAGGGCTTCCCGCGTTCTTAACCAGAAGTAGCCGCGGGTGGTAGCGGGAGCGGGGGTCGAAGTGGGCCATGGTTGGAAGCACAGAGGGACCCTCGCGCAAGAGGGGACGAGGGGCCCACGTTTTCTAGCAGCGGCAAGAACAACATGTTGGTAGGCTCTACAGCTAGCTACTCCTACAGGATGCCAGCCTGTGGTACTGCCATAAAGGACTGTCTCAAAGCGAAAATGTATATCCTGTCTTGATCCCAACGGCTAGCTTAAAGGACTTGAGCCGCTTGAGCCCTTGCGAGGTTGCCATGCACATCATGGTTTTGGTATTACAGGCATACCAACGCATCCGCACGGTTTAAGCCTTTGAGCAAGTTCTAATTGCAGCAATGCCAGCCGATTTAATTTAGCATCCAATTGGGGTATAGATGCAGCAAAGCAGCAGGTTTTATGCTTCTAGGAAGGCAGTAGCTGCAGCAAAACTTCCAGTTCCTACTAAGCTTTCAAGACGGTTGTAGTTGGAAGGAGGTTGTAAGTTTTAGGCCCTTGAGGCTGTAATCGCTAACCATGACACCTAGACCTAGTCAAACCGTTTATAAGTATTGGATCGTTACGAGGAAATTTTCACTTAAACATGGGTGGGTTCGTTGAAATTTCGGAAAAATCCTTTACTGCGAGGGGTTTTAACAGCAAAAATCAGATTAGCCGAGCAGACGAGAGCCGACCGCGTGGCACCCCCCTTCCGGCTGTCACTCCCGCGGGCGCGGGTGCTCTGCTAAAGTCGCAGTTTCATGTGTTCCCATTGGACCGTCACTTCTGTCTTGGAACTCGAGGTACATGGCCTCATCGAATCCATCAACCAGCAGGCGTCGAGACTTGCATGAGCTTGGAGAGGGCGGATTGAGACATGTTGCGGTGGAGGTGGCAGAGATGCAGGCGCTGGCGAAACAGCGCGATGTTGGGTCTGTGACATGACGGCCTTGTCTTCAGGACGTGGCCGCAAAGCTCACTGCCCCACCCCCAGCAAGTTTATTCTTTGTTTTCAAGGCGGATATCCAACCGTTACTAGGTTACTAGATTAAAGGTTTTCCGTTGCGAGCCGGAAAAGACTTCACGACTCATGCGTCTGGTGGCGTAGGTGCTGACACATCGGCTGAAGATGGCGCAGCGTGCACGGTCACGTCCTAAGGAGAGTGCTACGGACTTCGCCTTCCGCTCTTTCGACAGCAGCCGCGAGGCCGTTTAGAGTGCAGGTTCATGTTTGGGTCTAGGCAGAGGCTGCTGTAGCCGAAGTTCAAGCATCACACGCTCACAAGCTATTGAGCTGAAGTGGGGGACGACTCGAAGCCTCCCACTTTCCAATTGTTCGCCTCGGGTGGTTTGCGCCCGGCCACTGTGCAGGGCTTCGAGAAGTTCATCCTGGAGCCTTTTGCAGTTTGAGTGGGTTCTTGGCCTGGGCCCTGTGCGTGTCGCATTGGCCAGGACCTGAAGCTCTACTACAGCGAGCTCTACGAGGATCCCCTGATGCTCCAGGCCGCAGACCCTGCACTCGAAGAGTGCAGAGCCGCTTTGAGCGCTTTGGCAGGAGCTGCGCTGCTTTATGCTCAAGTGGCTCCACGTCTTCTCTCAAAGCCCGGAGCTGAGAGGCCGAGAGAAGAGAGAGCCGAGATGTGAGAGCCGAGATTTCCAAGGCCTCTTGGATGCCGAGACCAACCCACTGCTCAAGGCCGCTGAATTCGAAGCTCTCTCTCTCTCTCTCTCTCTCTCTCTCTCTCTCTCTCTCTCTCTCTCTCTCTCTCTCTCTCTCTCTCTCTCTCGCTCTCGCTCTCATATTTCGCGCTGTCAGGGCATCGAGGAGGAATTCAAGAAATGTGAGACGTCAGCGCCTGAGGGGGAGAGGGGGAGAGGGGGAGAGGGGGAGAGGGGGGGAGAGGGGGGAGGGGGAGAGCGGGAGAGCGGGAGAGCGGGGGAGAGGAGATCGGGAGGCGGGAGAGAGGGAAGAGAGGGAGGATGGTGATAGTAAGAGAGAGGGAGAGAGGAGGTGGGAGAGAGTGAGAGAGGGATGGAGAGGGGCGAGGGGGAGTGGAGAGAGAGGGAGAGGAGGGGAAGAGAGGAGAGAGGGAAGAGGGAGAGAGAGAGGGAGAGAGGAGAGTGAAGGAGGGAGAGAGGGAGAGTGGGAGAAGAGGGAGAAGAGAGAGGGAAGGGAGGTAGCAGGAGGGGAGGGAAAGAGGGGAGAGGGAGGGATAGGGAGAGAGGGAGAGAGGGAGAGATGGAGGAGGGAGAGAAGGGAGGAGGGCCGAGAGGGAGAGAGGAGAGAGGGAGAGAGGGAGAGAGGGAGAGAGGGAGAGAGGGAGAGAGGGAGAGAGGGAGAGAGGGAGAGAGGGAGAGAGGGAGGGAGAGGGAGAGAGGGAGAGAGGGCTTGAAAGTGGGAGGGCTGTGAGCTCAGGCTCGACGAGCTCTGCGACAAGGCAGGAAGTCGGAAGATGAGGGCAAGAAGCTGTCAGAATCTTGCTGTAACGGCGAGGTGACCGGCCGGCTCTCCCGTCTCAAGGCACAGCCCGAAATAGAGCGCAGAGCAGAGATCAGTGGCTGTGGCATGAGCTCTCTTGAGGTCTCCACTCGACTGGTCCTCGCCCCCGCGGAGTCCTACGCCGCTCGGCGGCATGAAAAACACGTGGCAAACGCGTGGAAAACCTATTCCATCGAGGGCTGTGTTCTTTGCTCTGGGCGGCCCCAGCTCTCTTCTTCGGCAGGTGCTGCAGTCGCAGCGGCCCCAGCTCGCCCTCGAGGAGCGCTGTGCAGCACTCCGTGCGTACGGACGCGCGTATACGGACGCGTCGTCGACGCGTCGTCGACGGACGCGTCACCTTTCGTTTGAGCTACGGTATACACCTCGAAGGAGTGTAGGAAGTGCATCATGTACCTCACCTAACCTCTTACTCTAACCCCCTTCGGTTACCTGCTGGTTAGAGGTTAGAGGTTTCCGCCCGTCAGATACTATCTATCTCCGTCAGATACCCACGAGTTAGAGGTTAGAGGTTTCCGCCCGTCAGATACTATCTATCTCCGTCAGGTCCCCACGGGTTGGAGGTTGAAGGTTTCCGCCCGTCAGATACTATCAATCTCCGTCAGGAACGTCAGCAACCTCCGCCCGTCAGCTACCCACCCTCTGCGTGTCAGCAACCTCCGCCCGTCAGCACCCACCCTCCGCCCGTCAGCTACCCACCCCCCGACCCAGCTACCCACCCTCGGTGCGTCAGCAACCTCCGCCTGTCAGCACCCACCCTCCGCCCGTCAGCAACCTCCGCCAGCCACCCGCCCCCCGCGCGTCAGCAACCTCCGCCCGTCAGCTACCCACCCCCCGCGCGGCAACCTCCGCCCGTCAGCTACCCACCCTCTGCGCGTCAGCAACCTCCGCCCGTCAGCTACACACCCTCCGCCCGTCAGCAACCGCCCGTCAGCAACCTCCGCCCGTCAGCTACCCACCTTCAGTGCGTCAGCAACCTCCGCCCGTCAGCTACCCACCCCCCGCGCGTCAGCAACCTCCGCCCGTCAGCTGCCCACCCTCGGTGCGTCAGCAACCTCCGCCCGTCAGCTACCCACCCCGCGCGTCAGCAACCTCCGCCCGTCAGCTACCCACCCTCGGTGCGTCAGCAACCTCCACCCATCAGCTACCCACCCTCCGCCAGCCAAAACCATGCTCGGTGCGTCAGCAACCTCCGCCCGTCAGCTACCCAGCCTCGGTGCGTCAGCAACCTCCGCCCGTCAGCTACCCACCCCCCGACCTCCGCCGTCAGCTACCCACCCTCGGTGCGTCAGCAACCTCCGCCTGTCAGCACCCACCCTCCGCGCGTCAGCTACCTCCTCCGCGTGTCAGCAACCTCTGCCCGTAGCGCGCCTCAGCATCAGCTACCCACCCAACCTCCGCCCGTCAGCTACCCACCCTCCGCCCGTCAGCAACCTCCGCCCGTCAGCTACCCACCCTCCGCGCGTCAGCTACCTCCGACCGAGCAACCTCCGCGTCAGGTACTCTCTATATCTCCGTCAAGTTTCCACGGCTTGTTTGCGGGCGGGTTCCGCCCGTCAGATACTAACCATCTATCTAACAACCTCCCCCCCCCCCTGGTCAGGTCCACCCCTCCGCCCGTCACCAACCTCCGCCCGTCAGCTACCCACAGCTACCCACCCAGCCTCCGCCCGTCAGCTACCCACCCTCCGCCTGTCAGCAACCTCCGCTTGCCGGCGGGTTCGGCCCGTCAGCTACCTACCCTCCGCGCGTCGACACTATCTCCGTCAAGTTTCCACGGGTTGTTTGCCGGCGAGTTCCGCCCGTCAGATACTAACTGTCTATCTAACCACCCCCCCCCTCTGGTCGGATCCGCCCCTCCGCCCGTCAGCAACCTCCACCTCCGCGCGTCAGCAACGCCATCAGCTACCCACCCAACCTCGGCCCTTCAGCTACCCACCCTCCGCCCGTCAGCAACCTCCGCCCGTCAGCTACCCACTCCCGCGCGTCAGCTACCCGCCCGTCAGCAACCTCCGCCCGTCAGCTATACCCACCCTCCGCGCGTCAGCAACCTCTGCAAGTCAGCGCGCGTCAGCATCAGCTACCCACCCAGCCTCCGCCCGTCAGGAGTCAGCTACCCACCCTCCGCCCGTCAGCAACCTCCGCCCGTCAGCTGCCCACTCCCGCGCGTCAGCTACCTCCGACCGAGCAACCTCCGCCCGTCAATTGCTATCTATCTCCCTCAAGTTTTCACGGCTTGTTTGCCGGCGGGTTCCGCTCTAACTACCTCCCCCCCCCTCTGGTTTGGTCGGGTCCCCCCCTCCGCCCGTCAGCAACCTCCGCCCGTCAGCTATACCCACCCTCCGCGCGTCAGCAACCTCTGCAAGTCAGCGCGCGTCAGCATCAGCTACCCACCCAGCCTCCGCCCGTCAGGAGTCAGCTACCCACCCTCCGCCCGTCAGCAACCTCCGCCCGTCAGCTATACCCACCCTCCGCGCGTCAGCAACCTCTGCAAGTCAGCGCGCGTCAGCATCAGCTACCCACCCAGCCTCCGCCCGTCAGCTACCCACCCTCCGCGCGTCAGCTACCTCCTCCGCGCGTCAGCAACAGTCAGCGCGCGTCAGCATCAGCTACCCACCCAACCTCCGCCCGTCAGCTACCCACCCTCTGCCCGTCAGCAACCTCCGCCCGTCAGCTACCCACCCTCCGCGCGTCAGCTTCCTCCGACCGAGCAACCTCCGCGTCAGGTACTATCTATCTCCATCAAGTTTCCACGGCTTGTTTGCGGGCGGGTTCCGCCCGTCAGATACTAACCATCTATCTAACTACCTCCCCCCCCCCTCTGGTCGGCTCCGCCCCTCCGCCCGTCAGCACCCTCCGCCCGTCAGCTACCCACCCTCCACGTCAGCTACCTCTGCCCGTCAGCGCGCGTCAGCATCAGCTACCCACCCAGCCTCCGCCCGTCAGCTACCCACCCTCCGCCCGTCAGAAATTTGCTCTTGCCGGTGGGTTCCGCCCGTCAGCTACTAACTATCTATCTAACTACCTCCCCCCCCCTCTGGTCGGGTCACCTCTGCCTGTCAGCGCGCGTCAGCATCAGCTACCCACCCAACCTCCGCCCGTCAGCTACCCACCCTCCGCCCTTCAGCAACCTCCGCCCGTCAGCTACCCACCCTCCGCGCGTCAGCTACCTCCGACCGAGCGACCTTCGCCCGTCAGGTACTATCTATCTCCGTCAAGTTTCCACCGGTTGTTTGCCCGCGGGTTCCGCCCGTCAGATACTAACTATCTATCTAACTACCCCCGCCCTCTGGTGGGGTCCGCCCCTCCGCCCGTCAGCAACCTCCGCCCGTCAGCTACCCACCCTCCGCGCGTCAGCAACCTCTGCCTCATCAGCGCGCGTCAGCATCAGCTACCCGCCCCACCCTCCGCCCGTCAGCAACCTCCGCCCGTCAGCTACCCACCCTCCGCGCGTCAGCTACCTCCGACCGAGCACCGTCAGGTACTATGTATCTCCGTCAAGTTTCCACGTCAGATACTAACTATCTATCTAACTACCTCCCCCCCCCTCTGGTGGTCGGCTCCGCCCCTCCGCCCGTCAGCACCCTCAGCCCGTCAGCTACCCACCCTCCACGTCACCTACCTCTGCCCGTCAGCGCGCGTCAGCATCAGCTACCCACCCAGCCTCCGCCCGTCAGCTACCCACCCTCCGCCCGTCAGCAACCTGCGCTTGCCGGCGGGTTCCGCCCGTCAGCTACTAACTATCTATCTAACTACACCTCTGCCTGTCAGCGCGCGTCAGCATCAGCTACCCACCCAACCTCCGCCCGTCAGCTACCCCCCCTCCGCCCGTCAGCAACCTCCGCCCGTCAGCTACCCACCCTCCGCGCGTCAGCTACCTCCGACCGAGCGACCTCCGCCCGTCAGGTACTATCTATCTCCGTCAAGTTTCCACGGGTTGTTTGCCGGCGGGTTCCGCCCGTCAGCTACTAACTATCTATCTAACTACCTCCCCCCCCCCTCTGGTCGGGTCACCTCTGCCTGTCAGCGCGTCAGCATCAGCTACCCACACAACCTCCGCCCGTCAGCTACCCACCCTCCGCCCGTCAGCAACCTCCGCCCGTCAGCTACCCACCCTCCGCGCGTCAGCTACCTCCGACCGAGCGACCTCCGCCCGTCAGGTACTATCTATCTCCGTCAAGTTTCCACCGGTTGTTTGCCGGCGGGTTCCGCCCATCAGATACTAACTATCTATCTAACTACCCCCCCCCCTCTGGTCGGGTCCGCCCCTCCGCTCGTCAGCAACCTCCGCGCGTCAGCAACCCCACCGGGGGGGATAGGGGTTACCCGGCGTACGCTCTGAGGAAGTGTGTGCGAGCTCTGCGCTGAGCAGTTTTGGACTCCGACTCTGCAGGAGGGTTTGCCGAGCGCCAGCTTTGCGACGGCTTCCTCTGCCTCCACGGCCTCCGCGGCCTCAGTCAGGGCCCCTTCTCAGCGGAGAGAGATCAGAGATCTGCAGCCTGCATCTGCTGCAGGGCGGAAAGTGCGGGGTCTCCTGGCTCCGCCTCGACTGCCGAGGGCGCTTCGGGCGCCAGGCGCGGAGAGCAGAGTGGAGGGGAGGCTGCGCCCGCCGTTCCTGTTTCGTGAGAGCTGGCAGAGAGCTGTGTAGTAGAGTGTCTCTGAGGTCCTGCGAACGCGGGATGGGAACTTCGACAGGCGACGCGACGCTCTGCGATCTGCGACGCTCTGCGAGAACACCGCAACGAGCTGTGCTCCAGGGAGTGGCCCTTGACCATTGGCTTCTGCTGCGGCTCCATCACCATCCTGAGTAGGAATCCGGTTTAAGGGAAGGGGGGGGCCCGAGCGCTTGCTACAGAGCGCAGCCCTGCTGCGGGAGGAGGCATTTAAATCACTTGCTCTACTTTGTGCAGGGGCCCCAGCGCGCGCGCGCGTTCTCCTGGCGCGTGTCGCCTCACGTGTCGCGTCGTGTCGATATGCGTCGTCTTGCAGGCTGGATCTGGTCCTCGTCCGGCCCCAAGCGGTCGAGGAGCTGGGCCGCTCTCGTCGTCGCTCTCGGCTCCGCTCAGGTCCTCTACGAAGTCTTGGACTTGAGCCAGGCCACACGGCCACAGCCAGCCCTCCCCCTCCGCGGCGCCTCCCTCCGCGGATGACTGCAGGCCTACAGCATCGCCTTGGTTTGCTGCAACTGGCTTTGCGTTCTCAGCACGCCCGTAACCCCGGCCGAACCCGCCAAGAAAAGAAGGCAGCAAGGTTTGGGTTTTGGGAAGCTGCCTAGGCTGGCCTGTTTCGAGCAAATCGACGAGATCGCCCAGCCTGGAGCCAAGAAGCTTCCAACTGGGCCAGACTCGCAGCGACTCGCCGCCCTTCGACCCTCGAGGCTGCAGCGGCGCATCTGTCGCTACCGCGAGAGGCGCGGCGGGCAGAGAGACGGAGGGACAGGTTTTCTTGCTCCTCGCCAGGAGCGATCGCGTCCAGGAGCCTTGTCGGAGTCCTCTCGCTCTCAATCAAACTCTGCAAAACCAGTACGCCAGTACGGCCCGCCGAAGCTTCGGAGCGCAGCTGCGGTTTCCTACCTGCCAGCAAATTGAGAAGACGTCGTTTACACGCACCTCTTTCTATGACGTTGCAATCGAAATACATATCCTTGGAATCATGTCTAGTGTGCGAGTAGATCGGGGAGGGTCTCACGCAGAACCCTCCAACATTGACTGCGCAAGCACAGAGTCTGCTGTGAGTGAATGTTTCTTGCTTGACGTTGAGTTTGCCGACAATGCATCTTTCAAGCTTCCAGCACAGCTAGGAAGACATTGCGACCATGTCAGATGATCCACAAAGGATTCCGAACTGGGTGTCTCGTCCACTGCAAGAGACAGAAGATGTGGACAGAGAGGAGCGACAGATTGCCAGGCTTCATGCTGAGGCTAGCCTGCAACGTGCCAAAAGCAAAGGCGCCATATCGAATTCCTGTCTTCATCAGTCTTCGTTTTCAGTGCCTGGAGATCAAGAGCAACCGACAGCCTTGACCACAGAGGATATCAACTGTGTTCCACAACGTATTATTGGCAAGCAGCGCGACCCTTCATGGCTTTTTTGCGCAACCAGAATTCACTATCACGCACGGCCGGACAAGTTGTAGTTGCTAAAACCTGTCCGGCCGCACCCTCATTGGAGCGTGATGAGGCCTCGACCCGAGCCAGAAACCCCCACTGTGCAAGCACTCGAAGACTCGCGCTTTCTTGTTTGCTCCGCGGTGCCTGCGCACCTAGTATGCTATCTGAAGATCTTCTGCTGGACCCTTGATTGGACGTTGATCGCTGCTGGCTGAAGTTCCGGAGCCTGTGTCGAATGTGGGGATTGGCCGCGGGCTTCTCGCATACCCAAGAATGGATTCATCGGATTCAAGAGAAAAGAGGCAGAGGTGGTGGGAAGCTTGTGCAGCTGAGCCGTGCTGAGCTTGAAGCTTCCAAGTGCAAGTTCTCAGGAGCAGCACCGGGAAGCCAAGGAGAATTGGGCCAAGGCTAAAGCCATAGGGACAGCCGGCGAGTCACCTGTGACGAATCGACTCTGCCTCTCTGTAGGTTCAGCAGCTACACGACCTCTGGAATTACCGCACGCAGCCCTTCCTTAGCATCTGTGGTCGTGACCTCGGTGACGGCCTCAAAGGGGGATTGTAGGGCTGCAGGGTAGGTTCCTGCAGGCAAGATCCACCGGGCCTTGGACAACAAGGCAGCCGATGGGGCCGTTGCAGAAGCGAAATTTTGAGAAGCCGAGCGGCCGAGCCTGCAGGACAGGGAGGATGCCAGGCTCGCGGAATCAGCAGCATGCGCGCGCAGGGCATACGGTGCAGACGTGCATGATGGTGCATGTTGGTTTTGACGCATTTGAACAGGTTTGAGACGTCAGGTGATAGCTTCTCCCCCCTCAGTGCCCTAACTACAAGCCCCGAAGGGGATGACGAATCTTGAGCCTGAGCTGAGCCACTGACCAAAGCACGACCACGAGCTGCCCTGAAAGAGCACAGCTGCGGTCACCTCGTCTTCTCTGCATGTCCTTTTGGATGCCCTCCTTCCGAAAGTGAAAAGAGATGTGCACAGGCCTTCTCATGCCGTATCAGTTGCCCTTGGAGAAGTGTCTCACGGAGCTGTTACGTACCTCTGATATACATATGTGCACATACAGTCTAAGCTTTGAAGATGTGTTGGTTTGCGAGCTTTGCTGTCGGTGCTGCGCAGGGCTTTGGAGCTGGCGCGGCGCCGAGGGGAACCGCCGGAAGTCAGCGAGGACAGTGAGAGCTGACGGAATGGTGAACCTGGCATGTCGGCATGACCAATGAGCGACTGATCTCCGTGACCGGCAAAGACGCATGAATTTTGTGACCGCGAGCCCCGTAAATCCAGCAAGGGGAAGGGAAGGGAACGGCAAGACATCCAAGGCGGAAACATCGAAGAACTACGAGCACTGACTTGCAGAGTCATCATCGCGTTCTTCCTTCTCCTTATGGTTGGCCCCGTCATCAGCTGCATCAACCTGCTGTGGCGCTTGAAGCGGCCGTCAGTCCTGCACGGTTTGTTTCATGTCGGCCATTGTCTTTGGTTTGGTGCCGTCGGTGTGGCAATTAAATTCTGAGAAGGACCTCATGATTATTCGTTTCTCTTTGCCCCGTCCCCCCCGGCCGGCCGATATTCTCCGCGGTCGGTTCATGCGGGTGGTTGCTTGTCAATCGTGCATGTTTTCCTTCTAACAGAAACGGGGCAAACTCTTTGGTGCGGAATCGATGGTGGTTGAGTCCGGCTCGGGGAGTCGGTTCATCTACTCACACCAGAACAAGAAGAGCCTGGATAAAGGGCACCGCCTCGTAGCGAAGCTTTGGACTTTGGAACCCACTTCACAAAAGGGACAGGGGACGGACGGGAACGGCGAAGCGAGCAGAGATTGAGACAGAGAGAGTGTATGCCCCCCGACGAAGAAGAGAGAGGGAGAGGGAGAGGAGTTAGAGCTTGAAAGCATGGAGCTCAAGCCAGCACCTCCCGCGAGGAGCGCCGCTTGGAGTGGCCCGGGACCCCAGCGCACGGCGGCACGGGCCCGGCTCCACGCACTCTTCGCTGTTTGCGTTCTTCCGCCGAGGCTGCGCCGCGCCAATCAGTCGCTCGAGTGTTTGGATCAGAAGTTGGGCCGCGTCCAGAATTGGACCAAAGAGGGCCAAGCACCACTGTCTAAGGCCCGCGCTCAGCTGAGATCAATGCAGGTTCTTGTGACGAATTCAAGATGCTGAGCTGTTCTCGTTGATTCGCCCTTTCTATTGATTCTATTGCACTAATTAAGTGACAATCTTTTGCTACTGTTGTACGTTCTTGCTGCTATATGCTGCTATCCATACACGGCCTCAGGCAACAGAGAAGGACCGCAGGACGCGAGCCCGAACCCCTTTTTGCATTGTTGGGTTGACACCAGTGGCCTGATGTCCCCACAACCGCGCTGTGAGCACCGAAGAGGTAAAGCGGGCCCGTTTTCTCAAATCAGAGACTCTAAGGGAGAGGAGTTTCAAGTGCCGTCTCCCTCCTTTCGACAGCCTTGTTTGGGTCACTCCCAGGATACGCCGTCCGCCTGCGATGCCACATAGTTACCTCACTACCGTTGATATTAATACAAATAATATACAGCTTGACATTGAGTGGAACAATCCCAACGCTGGAATGCGGGAACGGGTTTGACTCAAACCTGGCCATGATGATCCTGACTTGCCCCAAAAAATCAGGACTGAAGGGAAAGACCCCCGGCGCTTAAGTTCGCACTAAGCGAAGCAAGCCGGCGAAGTCGCAACGGCCGCAGCGGCGGATGAAGCCCAGCACGTGGGACGACCGCTTCGGAGCTTCGGAGCTTCTCTTCGCTCTCCGCTCTGCTGCGCTCTGCTGCGGCTGCTTCGCTCCTGGCCAGGAGTGGAAGGAGAGCATTGGTCGACAGCTGAGGGAAGCGGAGCGACAGGAGCAGGCGAGCGGCGAGCGAGCTTTTGCCCCTTTTGGGGGCCGTGGGGCCGGGGACGTGTCACCGGCAACACCGGCAGGTGGAGCAGCTGATCCAGGCGCCACGCTGGCAGATCCGAACTTCGCAGAGTCAGAGGCCGCTGTTGGCTGTTTTCCCAAAGTGCCCGTCCCCCGCACAGGTTCTGCCGATCCTCACGAGCGACCTTCGGCAGATTGAGGCGTTTCGACGACGAGAGTGCGCCCAGCGCGTGAGCGGAGTGGTGCTGCGCCAGGACGGCTCGGCACCAGGCTCACAGCCGGCCGCTTACAGCTCGAAGTTGAGCGTTGCTAAGCCCTTGCCCTTTTTTGCCTCTGAGGCTCGCCCCTGGCTCGCCCGTTCCTCGGAAGAGCAGCAGCTGAGCTGAATCGCACCCACTTCCGAAAAGAGACTGGGCGGGCGGCGGGCGTGCTCTGCGCACACTGTGTCTCACACGCAGCTCATGCAGACTTTTGCATTGATGCAGGCGTGCAGCTTGGCTTGCGTGAGACTGCCAGAGGGAGAAATCCCTTATGATAACATGAGAAGACCGCGGAGGGGGCAAGCAAAGAAAGAGAGAGAGAGAGAGCCCTGGCGAAAGAAAGAGAGAGAGAGAGAGAGAGAGGGAGAGTCCTGAGATAAGTGGGAGAGAGAAAGAGAGGGAGAGGCACCACAGAGATGTAGACTTCAAATCGATACATTCTTTGTGACATCTGTGTTGAAGCTCCGCTCTGCGGCGATGAGCGATGGCGAGGGCCATGGGCATGGAGCCATCTCGCAGCGAGCCGTGCGAATCACCTTGCGCTTCGGCAGCAACGGTGGGAGCCCACAGCATCACACGCTGCGCCAAGGGCAGGAGGCGTGCGCTGAGACAATCAGGTTCGAGTCGCTTTCGCTGGTCTCATAATTCAGTGGCAAGATTGCAAGACGGGTAGAATTCCAGTCCAGCGAAGCAGCATGTGCCAGCCTGCCACTTTGAAGAGTAGGGCAAAAAGAACTTGCTTGGCGGTTCGATGCCTTGGGGTCAGGACTGTCTCCGCATCGGCCGCGACCCGGCCAGCGAGGTGCCCGTGAATCTGCCAGCGCCTGAGATGGCGGAGCCAAAGCGGCTAGCCCTGCGGTAACAGCGAGTCCAAACAAGTAGAGTCGCGAGCGTGAGCTCTGCTTTTAATTGTGGGCGCTCCGCTCTGCATCGCTCTGCATCGCTCTCCGCTCTCTGCCGCTCTGCGCCTGCAGGCCCGGGGTCTCCTGGGCGCACGCGGAGCTGCGCTTGGGCACCGGGACTCCCGGGGCTCCGTCCCTGCAAGGGGCCAAGCAAGCGGATGACGAGGGCGAGTGGCCGCGGTGTGTGTGTGTGTGTGTGTGTGTGTGTGTGTGTGTGTGTGTGTGTGTGTGTGTGTGTGTGTGTGTGTGTGTGTGTGTGTGTGCGTGCGTGCCTTTTCCAGGTGCCTTCGCGACTTGTCCTCGAACGGCACGGGCCTGAAGGCTCGCGCCGTCTCGGAGACAGGGACCTCAAAGACCCATGGCGTTTCGATTTTTCGCTGAACAGGATGGCTCCGGAGGCATCGCACGGGTGAAGCGGGGCGTGGACGTGGAGGTTCCCTTGAATAGCCTCGTGGTGCTCCCGCTGAAGATTAAGGCCGGCTCGAGCTGGGTGCTAGTGGCAATCACATTCGCGACTTGCTCGTTGCATTTCGCCGCTGCACCAATCACCAGCGCGATAGGGGAAGGCAGCAGCACACAAGATCGGGGTCACAGATTCGAGGTGAAGCGGGCATTCTCCCACAGGAGGGGTATGATTAGTTTGCTGTTGTTTGTTTGCTCTCGCTTTTTTTGGTCTGGACGGGTGCGGGTTGGGACAAGGGCGGGGTTCGTGAAAACTGGCAAGCCAGGAAAGGAAACATAAGCAGCGCAACATACGATCAATGCGTGGAGTTTTAATGTCGGTCCTGATGCTGGTTTGTTTTGCTACCTGATGGTCAAAGAACTGGGCTGATTGCCAAGGGCCGGAACCTGCCCAACATTCATTTTCCAGTTTTGCTTCTCGGTTGCGCCGCTTAACATCGATATATAGTCGTGCATCTGTGCTCATGTGAAGACGTTGCCGACCCGCCCCTGACGAAGGCTCACGAGATTTCTTTCTGTGGTGCAAAAAAACTCCAGTGCGAGTGGAGTGCACTGCCCTTTCCTGCCAAGAAACCTAATCTTGGACGTGAGTGTCCAAATCAAGAGTCTTGCCATTTGGATGCCCTTGGAAAGACTCCGTGCCGTCGAGGTTTAGCCACGGAGCCAAAGCAGGTTCGCGCATGCCCCGAAGTATGTTGCAATGCAGTAGACACAGCCGTGTAAGGACATGTGCAGTCTATAGAGTCTAGAGAGTCTAGAGTCTAGATGAAGCAAGGCCCCAAGATGCCAGTGCACAATTCAGTAACCAGGACCAGATGGTCGCGGTCGAAAAGTATCACAAGAAAGGTCCCCGCGCGCAGCAGTTCAATTGTACAGTTGTAGTCCTCGTTCGTGGAGCGTTCGCTCTTGCAGAGGGACCCAGGAACCCCTTGTAGTCTTCCGTAAAGTTGAAGCTACGACTGAGCTTTGCACTTGTGCGTCGTGTGCGCACTCTGATTAATTCACTACATCGATTATAGGCTGGGTGAGCACCCGTGTCATTGATGCCTACTCTGTAAGCGACCGCGTGCAGACAAATGTTAGATATGTCGAAGGGGTGCTACAGCACATAGCAAAAGAACCGAAGTTGTTTGGTCGCTAGTTTGAGATTGATATGGTTGAGCCTGGAAATATGCGCCTTCCAATGACTATGGATACCATGGCGCCGCTTTGCGACAACATCTGTGAAGTGGCAATGATGTGTAAAGTGTGTAAAGTCAGTCTTCGTCAACTTGAGCGATGCTCCTGATGAAGCGAGTGACAATGCACGACAGACTCGATCCATCACTGCTGTGCTATCAGAAAAGCTCAATGAACGAGGAGTTTACATTGGCATTTGCAGAAGAGGCTGGAGCGGGATCCGACGCTTGTGATGCGGAACACGAGAAGAGGATGCATGATCAGACGGAACGGGAGGCCGATGAGAAGTACTTATACATATATATATATATATATATATATATACATGTATAATTTTGTTGTTCACAACAAGTGTCCTTGATTCCATCGTTCCTTGTCCTTGCGTGTGCCCGCACTGGACCAAGGTGAGGAGGCTGAGAGCACAGCTCAGTATTGCAGTTGCTGCAATACCCAATACAATTCGCTTTAGAAGAACAACGTTGACTAATCGCACTGCAAAAAAAGTATTGGTTGCAATGAAGGAGGACGGGAGATGGTTCGACCCCTCAATGCAGAAGTTCGCATCTCCGGACAAGGATTTCAACGATGGATGGTCCTTACATAAGAGGCCGATTTCAGAGCAGGTTGTCCACCTTTGGGTTCCTGAGGCAACGGAAGATTGGTTTTCATGTACGGGCACTGATAAAAACCTGATCGGTTATTTTGCCGGGTGCTTACGACATGGGCAACGCTACCTGCAAGCACTTCCTGGATGCTTGAATTCCATGCAAACAGTGGCACTCGGCTCATTCTCAGCAAGACTAGGGTACATTCCAAGGACTTTGTCCCAGAGATGACGACTGTGGGATGCCATCATCATTCGAGCACAAGAAACCATTGACGACCTCCCTGAGTCATGACTGTTTTTCGTTTGAGTGGCAGACGAAGCAGTGATTGCCGGCCACACTGTCTTCGACGAACAGTCAGCAATGAAGCGTGGATGATGTGCCAACCATTGAGATCCGCTTTCGGAGGCATAGAAGAACCAATCAACGGCGAGGACAGGCACTGAGAGCGATGTGATCAACCGTCTCAGTCGAAACTACTCTTGCAAGCTACAATGGATCGCGCCGGCCCGACATGAAGAGCGGTAACTCCGGCTAGCCGGCCCTGTGCATTTAGAAGTCTTAAGTAATTGTAGGCATTTGGAAGTGATACGTGCATGAACTGGGCGATGGAAAGACAAATGACTACTGCAATTGTTTACGCGCTGCTGCGCCACCCTGCGCCCTCCCACAGCCCCCGACACCCCCCCTCGCCCACCACAGTTTAACCGTGTAAATACCAAAAAGTGCGCAAAACATCTATTGCACTCTCCCAGCCACCCACCTCCATCCCAATCGTGGCAACTGTTTTCTTGTCAATGAATCTTTCTGCATCGAGGCGGCCACGAGTGCCAACGCCTTGGAGTCCCGGATGCTTGATGCTCAGCGCAGAATCACAGCTTTGAGTTTCTGAATTTTCTCTGGCCTGCCAGGTGCTTTGCTGTGGAGCTGGGCGAGGAAGCGGCGCCGCCGGACCCCGTCCAGGTGTGAACTCAGCGCGCGACCGCGGTGAGTCGACTCGTCGACTCGGGGTCCCTGCCGTGCCGCGCTGCAATGGCCCTGCAGGAGGCGCTGTTGGCCCAGGCGCAGATGGCGCGGGAGGTGCAGGCGGCGGCCTTGCGGGAGCTCCAGCAGCAGGCCCAGCAGCAGCAGGCCGGGACCCGGGAGGCCCGGCGGGGCGGGAGCCGAGCCGAGCCGAGAGCCCTGCGCGCTTTTTGTCTTTGGGGGGCCCGGGCGCCGCCTCCGCTGTCGCGGGGCCGCTGTCTGTCTCGCGAGGCGCAGGCGCTCCCCCGCGGGGAGCTCCCCGGGGGCCCCGCCGCCGCGGCGGAAGCGGCAGCGGCGGCAGCGGTGCCGGAGGAGAGAAACCCCCAAAAGGAGGAGGCTGCGCCGGCGCCGGCGCCTGCGGCGGCGGAGGCTCCGGCTCCGAAGCTCTTGGAGGCAGAGAGGAGCGAGGAAAGGAAGCGGAGCGAGCGCAGCCCTGCACGGAGGGACGACGGAGGCTCTCCTCCTGATCCTTTCGAGTCACTCTCTCTTTTTGCTGACTCTTGTCGCACTACGTGCTCTTCTTCTTTGCTCTTTGCAGGTGCGAGGAGCCCGCAGCGTCGGAGCCACAGTCGAAGTCGAAGCCGCAGCCGCCATCGCAGGGCACCCAGCCATGGCCACCACGGCCACGGCCGCGACTCTGCTTGCGCTTTTGAGACGGTGCGGTGCGAGAAAGTTCTGCAGGCAGCACGAGGCGCGGAGCGGCCACAAGGCGCAAGGCGCACCCATTGGTGTCGGAGTGCGTCCTGTCTCAGGAGACGACAGGGCCGAGATGGCCGAGACCGGAGGGACCGCGGAAACCGGCGCTCCCGCGACGGGAAGAGTCGCCGAGAGGATCGCGGAAGGCGACGAGCGCTGCCGAGCTTAAGCACGGGTCAGTTCTAGGGAGGAAAGAGTTGAAGGAAGTGTTGAGACACAGCGCCACAGTATAGCACCAAGGAGGGCTAACAAGTGCAGATGAAACCCTCCTCGTCATTTCCGGAGTCATTCCGCAAATTGCAGAAAGATCATGCGATCGTGTGCAAGAGCTCGCCGGCGCTCTGACGCACACGAGGAGTAAAGGGTTTGCAGGGCTGCTGATGCTAGTATGCTTCTTCTTTCCGCGTCCGGCAGGCGAAAGGGTTCTTCCCGCTCGCGCTCACGGCGTGAACCCCGACGACGCTCGCGGTCTCGCAGGTAATCGGTCAGGGGGTCGGATACTGTCCATGATGTGCCATGGACAGTCGAGTTTCACGGAGGTCCGTGCGGGAGAAACGTGCCTGGCCTAGTGGGACCACAGGCAGAGAAAAGCACGAAGTCTTTGAGACTCTCAGGCCCAGGCCGTTCGAGGAACACCAACTTCAGCGCTGCTCCGCCGGGGCTAGCTGAGCCGGAGGCTAACGGCGCCGCGGCCCCGGCCGCCCCGGCCCCGGCCCTCCCAGCCGATTTGCTGAAGGCAAGGCTCCGAGCTCAAAGAAGGGAAGGGGGAGACCAGGGACCGACGGAGCTCAGAGAGGACCTGCGCTCAGCGGAGCCAGCGCCTGCAGCGCCTGCAGCGCCTGCAGCCCAGAGGGAAGACGAGACAGTCCGAGTCCGAGCCTTGCCAGTGACCCAGTCTCGCCCTCGCTTTGCAGGCTAGCCACAGCCACAGCGCTACAAGGCAGCGCGGTCCTCACCAAATCTGGAGAAATGAAGCCATACATGTACCAGCAGTATTAACAATAAAATATGTGTTTATAAATATATACGTATATATATATATATGTGTATATATATACACACACATAATATCTACACATACGTACATATCTATAGTCATAGGCAACAACCAAACAGAAGTAAATGAATCATGATCAATGAGTCCAAGCACATATATGTAAATACATGGCGCCCCCCAAAGATCTATGTACGATCATCTCTTCATGACCATCCTTCCACTCACGATAGTCTCCTCGTGACCGCACAAGCCTTTCCTTCCCCTCACGTGTCACAGATCATCTCCTCATGAAAGCCCATGCGGCCTCATATTTCAATAGGTCCCCGCGGAGGACCACATTGAAATATTGAGCCACATTGAGCTTCAATATGGCGGATCCAAGTCCGAGATCCAAGATTCCCCAGGACTCTTGGGGAGGAATCTTGGATCACGGATCTTGGATGCGCTATATTGAAACTCAATATAGCCTCAATATTTCAATTTGGCCCTCCCTGAATCCAAGATTCCTGGGTCCCGTGCAATCTTGGATCTTGGATTCGCCATATTGAAATTCAATGTGTTTCAATATTTCAATGTGGTCCTCTGCCTTTCTTTTTCTGTTATCTCCACGGCTCTTGTGACAGTTTGCATGTGCATATCTGCAGCACAACACAACCAAAGAAACCAAAAAAGAAGCCAATGGACACGTTGCCCCTCGAACCTGAAAGGTTTTTCTGGGTTTTTGAGACAGTACAGCACATTAGCATAAAGCGATTGTCTTTTTTGCGACAGTACGGCGTTTTTGTCAGTTGACCCAATCCTTTCAGATGCCTGGGAAGCTACAGCACTTTAGCGAAAAAAGATAGGCTTTCTTGGGAGAGTACAGCACTTTTGCAAGAAAGATAGCTAAGTGCTGTACCGTCCCGAAAAACAGTTTTGGGAGGCTTCCAAAGAAAATTCGCCGAGTGACCCGCACGGCGCCCGCGCGGTGCAGAAAGTGTTCTAATTTACAGAGACTTGTCATCTCCCGCCTCCTTGAGAGCTGGATTCATGGTAAATCTTTAATTCATGGACGCACTACCTGGCCTCCGACACCTGGAATCGCAGCAGTACATTGGAGGAGGCAGCTTGCTCACCTGATGGTGAATGGGGAGATCAAACCATGACATCTATCAACAGTTATAAGGACATTTGTTTTTGTTTCACATTTCTTTGTAGGTCTTTAGATCTTTTGAAGTTGATAGATTTGCTAGGATGATCTAGTCTGATTGTCATGTGAATCTGCACAACACTTGCAACCATTGACAATGTTTGTAATTGTTTCTCCGAGACGGTAGAGAGGTGTGTTTTGTTTTTGGCTGTCAGTCTCACTGCCCATTTAATGTTTAGGGTGATAAATGTAGTATTTGACTAGTTTCAGTGTACACCAGTAAATCTGCTGGGTAGATGAACTAGAACAGTGTAAGTGCATGAGTGTTTTCATGTTGAAACGACAGTTCCATTTGGAAAAACCATGAACATATTTTGGGCTTTATGAAGGATGAAAAATGGCTTAAGGCATTTTAACTGTAGTAGGAGTATGATGACTAAACCTTATTGATTTTAATGTTTGGTTTCCACTAGTAGTAGTTGATTGTAGTAGTAGCAGCAGCAGGAGGAGGAGTCGTAGTAGTAGTAGTAGTAGTAGTAGTAGTAGTAGTAGTAGTAGAAGTAGAAGTAGTAGTAGTAGTAGTAGTAGTAGTAGTAGTAGTAGGAGTAGTAGTAGTAGTAGTAGTAGTAGTAGTAGTAGTAGGAGTTAGGAGTAGTGGTATAGAGGTATAGAGGTATAGAGGTATAGAGGTATAGTGGTATAGTGGTATAGTGGTATAGTGGTATAGTGGTATAGTGGTATAGTGGTATAGTGGTATAGTGGTATAGTGGTATAGTGGTATAGTGGTATAGTGGTATAGTGGTATGGTGGTATGGTGGTATGGTGGTATGGTGGTCTGGTGGTATGGTGGTATGGTGGTATGGTGGTATGGTGGTATGGTGGTCGTGAGGTCGTGTGTGAAAATAACACGTCCCCACTTTCTCCCAGACCTACGACTTTGCCAACCATCTGTTGGCTCAAGACCACTTTGCCCTACGAGAAAAGGCGCTGCTGAACTTCAGGGTTACTTTGGTCTAAGTCGTGTGAGCTTGTGCACGGAATTACTTTAGGGTAATTTGGTGCGCATTCTGGACTAGTGTACTTTCGCATGGTAGCGGAGCTGAAAGCTCCACGGAACTTTGGTAGAACAACATGGCACTAGGAGGTGAAGACAACTTTACAGGAAAGCTTCGGCTTCCTCTGCCAGAGACTTTCTTTGGGAACCCAGCAGACTGGGAAGAATGGTCATGGAACTTTAAAGCGTACATTTCGATGTTCGAGGTAGGTGCTGTGACTTTGATGGACAATGCCGAAATGCGAACGGCAGCGCAAGGTGACTTTACAGATGCTGATCTAACAGTCACTTTGGGCACAGGTGATGTTGATCCGGAACAGACCGCCAACCGAGTACTTTTCTCCCGAAAACTACATTACCTGATTTCTCAACTTGTGAAAGATTCGGCGAAACTTGTTGTTCGTCAGAACGAGGACAGCAACGGCTTTGAGACATGGAGGAGACTTTACAAGAAGTTCTCGCTGCCAGGAGCCACGCGGAGTACGTCACTTTTGACGCAGCTGTTGGACTTTAAGTTCAACCCAGCAACCTTTGAGCAGGACTTTAATGTTTGGGAGGCAATCAAGAGTAGATACGAACGACAAGTAGGACAACCTTTGCCTGATGGTGTTCTTGTTGCAACTTTGCTGAACAAAACCTCTGGAGCTTTACAACAACACCTTAGGTTGAATGCCCAAACTTTGGCAACTTATGCTCAGGTTCGAGAAGTTATCCTTGAGTACCATAGGTCACGACTTTTGATGAATCCAGTTGCACAAACTTCGGCGAATGCAACTTTTGCTGGTGGAGCCTCGGCTCCCATGGACATTGGTGCCTTAGCGGCAGCTTTGTGGAAAGGAAAAGGAAGGAAAGGAAAAGGAAAGAAAGGAAAAGGAAAAGGAAAAGGAAAAGGAAAAGGAAAAGGAAAGGACTTTTCGAAGTCGTTTGGAAAAGGAGGACAACATTGGAACTTTATGATGAAAGGAAAAGGAAGAGGAAAAGGAAAAGGAAAGCCCACTTCTGGTTCTACTTCGGTTTGCTGGACGTGTGGTAAAACAGGTCACTTTTCGAGCAACTGTCCTTTGAACCGTGTTTCAGCTGTTGAAGGTGAAGAACTTTACCCGTCGGAGGACGCAGGAGATTGGAATCACTTTGGTGAGTCCGATGATTGGACAGATTGGACCGAATGGGCCGTGAACGCGGTCACGGAACTTTACAACGACCCTAACAGTTGGGATCAGACTTGGGATGATCAACTTTGGTCTTGGGATGCTTGGTCCTGGGATGTTGACCCTTGGGGTTGGTCTTCGGACTTTACTTCAGAAGTTTGGCCTTCAGAGGCTGCTCCTTCGGCGAAGGCCGAAACTTTGGCGAAGCCCAAGGAAGAGGCTTCCTCGTCAAGCGGCGCGGCAACTTTGCCCGTGTCGGCTGTGACTTTGCAAGGACCACCTGGACTTTCAACCCCCAAAGCCAAGCCTAAAGCTAAAGCAAGCATCAGCCCGAGCACTTTGCTCATGTCGGCTGTTGTTCTCGGCAACTTTGGTTTGGGGAACACTTTCAGAGTTGATGGGATGACGAATGGAGTTGTAGACTTCAGCTTTGGTGGTTTCGGAGAGTGTGAGAACTTTGAGCCTACGGCCTGTATGGCACCGCTTGAGACTTTCTCCTTGAATGGTCGCACGGAGGAGAACCAACGACTTTTCAGTGTTGGGGATCTTGATCTTAAGAATCTGAATACGACTTTCAAGGATGTTGCTTTGGAGGAGCATTTGATTGCTTCGACTTTGGAGGACACCGAGCCGTGGATCCTCTTTGATTCAGGTGCTGCAACTCACTGTTGCCCGAAGGACTTTGCCTCAGAGTGGCCACTTTTGCCACTCACAGGGAAAGCTCCACCTTTGAGGAGCATTTCGGGTCAGCCTTTGACGGTCTTTGGAAGGAGACTTGTGAAGGTTGACTTTGAGGGCCAGCCCTGTTTCCTACACTTCTACGTTTGCGACGTTCCCTACTGTGTGGTGTCAGTTGGCAGACTTTTGAGGTCAGGCTTTGACGTGAACCTTTCTTCTAAGAAGGCGAACACTTTGGAAACACCTGATGGACACAAGGTGCCCATCACTAGGCATGGTTCACTTCTTTTCTTGAGGCCCACTTTGGCACCTTTCAACCGAGAAGAGTTTGAGGTTGTGTGTAACACTTTTCACACACAGAGCGCCCAAGGTACCATAGTGGCCCCCGTCTTTAGACCTGTTGTTCAGTATCACATTGATAAATGGGAGCTCTCGGGTAACACTTTGACCCGCATACACAAAAGAGCGAGAGCTACTTTCTTTTCTCCCGAAGGGACGAAAGATCGCCCTGTAGACCTGAAGGACCTTTCGGATGAACGCGTAACCTACTTTGAGTACGCAGATGGCAGAAAAGAGACTTTCACCGACAACTGGCGTAAAGCGGAGAACCCTAAAGGGCCTGCTCCTGAACGCTTTGTTGGCAAGACTGTTTTTAAACTTTCCTCCAAGCCCACTGGCCGCAAGCTGGTTGGAAAACAGACAACTTTACCTGAACCCACACCTGCACGCAAACCACAACCACTTGAACAGCAGCAGGAACCTTTAGCAGAGGCCCCACAACCACTTTTCAAGCAACCCACTAAAGGCCTCAAGGAGCAAAGCACCGAGGACACTTTCCGTCTGCGCCTTGAGCAGACTTCTTCAGGAACGCTGGAAGACTTTCGGAAGGCTTTGCTTGAACAACTTTTGGAGAAGGACCCGGCAACAGGCCAGC